TGAAGAATAGAAAATTCAAAAGAACAGCATTTATTTGAAATAGAATGAATTTGTAATTATAAATGTTTCCTGTCACTTGATTAGTTGAATACGTCCTTGCTTAATAAAAGTATTAATTTCTTAAGAAAAATCTTGCTGAAAGGCTTAAAACCATGACTGTGCTGTGATTTGATTGGACAGACTTGATGTGTCTTGATGCACATGAGAGCTCTGCTCTGACTGGATAGACAATACTGGGACACTTTAAAGCTTGTACCAGAAGGAAAGTATGAACTTCAAGCTAAATCTTTTCTCTGTCTCTTCGCAGGAGCGTTTGGCTACTTCGAAGTGACCCATGACATCACACGCTATTGCAAAGCCAAAGTATTCGAGCATGTGGGAAAGACGACACCCATCGCCATTCGCTTTTCCACTGTGGGTACGTTTCTGTATGGATATAATAATAACGTTTCTAGTGGAGTCTGGACTCTGTATGGATCGATTGTTTTGTTGAGATTAGAAATGCTTTCGTAACAGAAGTCACAGCACTCAGTTCTCTGAAACGAAGCCAGATGGTTTTGTAAGAGGGTAAAGAGCACATGCAGAAACAATGTGACAGGAACATACTCCTGCTCACTTACCTCCAGAAAGTATAAAGCACCACCTTTGCACCATGATAAACATGTATGCGCTTGTTTACAGCCGGTGAATCTGGGTCAGCAGACACCGTCCGAGATCCTCGAGGTTTTGCAGTGAAGTTCTACACCGATGAGGGCAACTGGGATCTTACAGGAAACAACACCCCCATCTTCTTTATCAGGGATGCGCTTCTGGTGAGAAACACAGCCCACACACTGTCCATCAAGAGCTTCGTCCCAGTATTAACAGTATATGTGTGTTAACTGTGTGTTGTAGTTTCCGTCCTTCATCCACTCTCAGAAGCGGAATCCGCAGACTCACCTGAAGGATCCGGATATGGTTTGGGACTTCTGGAGTTTGCGTCCTGAATCGTTGCACCAGGTACGGCAGCAGAAGACACCCACTTTTGCATTTTCACGTTCCTGTAGAATGTCTCGCTCATGGCGATTTATGTGTATGTACAGGTGTCTTTTCTGTTCAGCGATCGGGGAATACCTGATGGCTACCGTCACATGAACGGATACGGATCGCACACCTTCAAACTGGTCAACGCTCCGGGACAGTCGGTGTACTGCAAGTTCCACTATAAGGTACTTACTGTTTGTTTGTTTGTGTGTGTACAAAATCTGCAGCTCAAAGTGACAAAATCACAGTAAATCAGAACAGATTTGACGTTTAATTAGGGCGATATGGCCAAAAATAGACCTTGAGAGTGAATG